AAGACGGGAAAAAGCAATGCTCACCTAAGGTCTCAGAGCCCCACCTACCACACAGATAAGGCACGCTGGACTGTGTGAGGGGCTCCGTGTGTGTGTGTGTGTGTGTGTGTGTGTGTTGATCTAAAAATCAAAAATCAAGGCAAAACAAAAACTAAAAAGAAGACAAAAAAACCCCCAAAGCTCTCCCATCAGGGGCACCACACCCTTTGCACTGTTCTTTTTTCCTTCTCTGTTCTTTTTTCTTCCATTCATGCGGAAGCAATAATCAATACTTCCTGACCGAATGGACGGAATCTGAACAGCTGTGTGAGAGCAGCAGACCCAAGACTTACAGAAGTGAAAAGCACCATCACTGACATAAAATGCTGCTGACGGCACCTGGAAGCCCTCCGGGTAATTTCTAGCTGCCTCTAAGGACTCACACAGGATGCCCCCCGCGGCGTTACCCAGCCCCTCTCCCACTCCAGAATCGCAGCCCAGCAGCTCCGACTTGGCTGAGCTCAAAGCCACATGATGTGGTCTTTAAATCTGACTCTGCTACAAAATGCCTATTTCGTTGTCTGTCTCCTCCTTCCTTGCTCAGAGACACATGTGCCCTTTCACCTTTCTAAGGCGAAGTCTTTCTGCATCTTTAGGTTTTTTATTGCTCGTCGATTCCCTCCTCCGACACCACATAGAGCGGGATTTCCAAGCCCCATGGGTCACCTGGCTCTGGGCACGAGCTAGTCAGCATGGGCGCGTGTGTGCTGCAGCAGAGCTCCAAGGAGGGCAGAGGAAGAGCTTCCTGAGCGGGGGTGGGGAGCAAGAGTGCAGGGGCCTGAGCGAGGCTCTGGAGTCGGGGGAAACATCCCACGCGGCTCCCTGCCCTCTCATCCGTCATTTGGGGTTGCGGAGAAGATTCGATTTGAAGAGAAAAGAGTTCCACTGCTAAAGAGAGAAAGGAGATCACCTTGTCCCTTTAGAGTTAGGTGCTGGATTTATCAGGACGTGGGATGGTGGCAGCTGGCAGGTGGGAGGGGGATTCTGAGATGTCAGTGGTGGAGGGGCCGAAGGGGCTGGACAGGGCGAGTGTGCAGCCTGGGCCAAGGGCCAGAGCAGACAGGAAGCGGTCGACCGCTTGGGGACAGGGAGACACAAAGAACTGGAGGTTGAGAAGATTTAGGAAGCGCAAGCTGTGTACCTGTGAGGTGAGACTGTGGGGTAAGCAGGGCGAGGCTCAAACTGCCAGCAGGTCCCTGCTTGTGGGCAGCAGGCATGGGGGGAAGACGGAGGGGAGGAGGCTGTGGTCACCACAAGGTCTCTTGGTCCCAGGGCACCAGGGCGAATTCTGTGCCTGTGTGTCCCTCTCTTCCCAGACACCTGTGCCCAAAGTACCATCAGGGAGGCCCTTTCCTGAATCTGGAGACAGCTGCGGGCTTTAAACATATGCACTGGTGACTCTGCTCATAGCTGAGATTGGAAAGGTCTCACATCTCAACACAAACCAGTGAGCCTGTGTTTGCAGCCAAAAAGCGTGGCCTATTTTAAAAGTCCTCTCAGACATAAAAATTCGTAAAAAGGATTATGTAATCCAAGTCAAAGAGGTCATTCAAGAAAGCAATGTGCTAATTACAAATAATGTTTCTTTTACTAAATGAGATCCTGGATCGTGAAGCATTTAGCACAGCGCTTGGCCCTGATGGAGTGCCCGCAAATGGAAGCCATGGCCAGTGCTGTGCGGACTAGTCATTAAGACAGACCGGGAAGACTTCTCCTTGGAAACCCCTTTGTCAGCTATTTATTTCATTAATATATAAGCTTTTGAGTCATAAAAAGACAGAGCTTAGAGGTCCTGTTACTCTCCAGTGCAGGCTGACCTTTCTCAAATTATTAAGACTTGCGATGTTTCTCTGAACAAAACACCAATCCATAAACAAAGGCTCTTACCGAAAATGTAAGGCCCAGACTCTTCCCACCCATTTCAAGAGCGTGGCGGACAGCAGGGGGACTAGAGCCCCAGACACGTCTACTGTTTGAGCATAGTCTGCCAGCTGAGACCAAGAGAGAATGGGGAGGCCAGGCCTGCTGTTTTCCCAAATTTTAGTCCAATCCCTGCCCTCCTCATCCCTACTGGTTCTCCCAATCCCCTGCCTACCCAGCTGTCAATGGCATTGGCTGTGATCCCCCTGCCCTTGTGTGGTCTCTGTGGCTGCGACTCCAAATACAGTCACTGATGCTATGGCCCAGGTCCCAAGCAGGGAGACCAAGGCACCTTCTGGACCACAACTGAGTTTTGTTCGCCATACACAGCACTTTTGAAAATTTTCAATGTGGATGCCTTTACAAGGAGGCCTTGCTGTCAAGTTTACCTCAATCCTCACTATGCCCTGTTTCCCTGACTTGAGTTAGTTTTGTCACCTCGCCTAGAAGCCATCACCTGTCCCCTGTAGCGGTTTCGCCCAGACAGGGACTGGAGGAGCCCGGGTCTGGATGTGCTGCTGTGGCCACCAGACTAGCTCCGCCCGTGTCATCTGCCTGTCATGAGGCTCGGCCGGCCCTAACACAGCAGCTCCGAGACCAGGGAGCCAAATTCCATTCCGGCGTCTGTGTAACTGCTGACCGTCTGTACCTATTGACTTGTTTAAATGTTCAGAAAAAAAAAGAGTAGAAAAAAAACAGTTGACCTCTTTAAGAAGTCTCAACCTTCAATAAGTTTAAAAAAATTGCTGGTAGCCTGCTATAATGGTTTTAAAATTTTTTTAAAAATTCTGTACATCAGAGCTGTTCCAGAAGCTCGGATTTTGAAAGGTGGAAAGAGGGATTAAATTATTTAGCTTCCCTGGAACTCTCTACTGATTAGGGGGCAAGGTTGGCTGGTTTTATTTTTTTCCTTAAGTTTTCTTTCATAAGCCCAAGAAAAATAACCTCTCCTGGGTCTCTTTTTTGGCCTCAGAAGAATCTTATTTCTTCTGTAACTACTTGGTTGAGTTCATGAGAGTTTTTTCAGGAGCAGGCCGTTTTTTCTTTCTTTTTTTTTCCGGCCCGTGTGTTCAGAGAGCATAGCATAGAAGTAATCCATTTCTAAGGACCTTGTGAAGTAGGTGCAATTATCCTGCTGTGTAGAGGTGAGGAAACACACTCAGAGAAACTACACCCCTTGTCCAAGGTCACACAGTAGCCACTGGACTTGATCCAGGTTTGTGAGCAGCCGAAACAGTCTTCGGGCACCACCCCACACAGCCCCCACTAAATAAAGGCCAACATCACAGAGCCACACGTCAAATCACAGACCTTGGAGTCACAAGGAAGGGTCAATGGAGGTCTTGCAAAAATGCAGAGTTTGGGGAAAGAAATAGGAAAAAAAAAGAGAAATGTACTGCATCTTTGCAAAAAGGATCCTTTAACCTCAGTCCTCGATATGTGGCTTCCGTCCAAGGCCCCTTCAGCCCAGGAGACTGTAAACACGTTTTCAAACAGAGGACGTGGAGGCGCTGGGTACCTACCGCCCTCGAACTCCGTCTGGCAGTTCCCCGCAGTCTCGTTCAGGCTCTCTTCCTCGTTGACAATGATGTTCTCGATGTCCTTCATCGTCAAGTGGTCCCGGAAGGCGTGATAGAGGACATGCTTCAGCTCCTCCAGGGTTATCCTCTGCATGTCGAACTGGGGAGAGAGAGAGGCGTGAGAGGGTCTGGGGCACGTGGTGGGGGGAACTCAGCGTGGGGTGTGACCAGCAAGCCCGAACCCTCCTCTATGGAAACATGGCCCTGCTTTTCAAGACATCAGATGAGCAGCTTTCGACCATGTTCAGCTCCAAGCATACTTGTGAACTTGCAGGGACTTACTGGGAATTGAGCGAGAGCAACTTTTCCCCTTCAGTTGAGATTCTTGGAGGGGAAAAACAAAATCGCCACCTGCTAGTTTGGTTTCTCACTCACCCAGCCATCTGCTCCCACCCCTCCACACCTCATGTACTTTGGAGCGAGCGGTGTTGCGCCTCAGACAATGCAAATGTCTCTAGAAAGTTTTAAATCTTCCAAGAAGCCAGCAATTCTCATCTGGCTCTAAGCATGCACCTTGTTCGAACAAGACAAAACGCACGCTCAGAGCCGTGTTTATGAGGAAGAGCAGCTGAAGACAAGGTGGAGCGTTTCCACTTGTGCTCTCCCCCTGCGAGTGAGAGGATATATTTTTTCCACAATTTCTGTCAGATTTGGTCCTATCACTTTCTTGGCCAATGAGTAGAAGTCACAGAGGCCACATCCAATTAAAAGCTTTGAGAGGGGAGGGTATAGCTCAAGCAGCAGAGCGCATGCTTAGCATGTATGAGGTCCTGGGTTCAAGCCCCAGAACCTCCTCTACAAAAATCAATAGATAAACCTAATTACCTCCCCCCCGCCAACACACACACATAACACTTTAAGAGCCATTGTATGGTTCTAGCCTGCATCCTTTTCCCTCTGCTTTGATGCAATGAGAAATGCTAACTCACCCTCCAGAGAGGCCTTCCCTTCTGTCTGGGTCCCAGAATGAGGCTCTAGTGGAGAAGATCTCCCATAAAGGAAAAGTCACATGAGTAACAAATGCCCTTTCTTGTTATTAGCCTCAGAGATGTTGGGCTTCCTTGCTGCCGTAATATAACTCGATTTAAGTCGACAACACAGAAATCAGGACATAAAAATGAAAAGCTACCATAACAAAATTCTAAAATATGGTGTATGGGTTCCAGGGCCAGGCAGCGGGAAATAAGGAAACCGTTATTGGAGGCTGGACAGACAACAATCCATGTTATGCAGCAGCGAAACAGCTGATAAAACTGTTGCCTGTTATTACTCGGAGGGTAGATACATACTGAATGAGTTTGCGGCTTTTGGTAAAAAGCGGGAGACACAGAATCCTCTGGCTGTTAACTGGTTGTATCTGACAGGATGCTGCAGTAGAGGGATGAGCTCAGGATGAAATAAGTCAGACAGAGAAAGGCAAATTCTGTATGGTCTCACTTAACCGTGTGGTCTGAAAAACCAACCAAACCCGTGCTCTTAGATCCAGAGAACAGGTTGGTGGTTGCCAGGTGGTTTGTTTTGGTTTTTCAGTTTTTTGGTTTTTTTGGATGAAGTAGAAAAGGCAGCTGTATTTATTTGCCAGGGGGTGAGGAGTGGTGAAATGGGTGAAGGGGATCAAAAGGTTATATATAAACTTTCAGTTATAAAATAAATACAGACTGGAGATGTAATATCCAGCATGGTGACTATGGTTAATAATACTGTATTATATATTTGAAAGTTACTAACAGTAAATCTTTATTGAGTTTTTTTTTGAGGGGGGTAGTTAGGTTTTGATTTATATATTTATTTTTTAATGGAGGTACTGGAGAATTGAACCCAGGACCTTGTGCATGCTAAGCATGTGCTCTACCAGTGAGCTATACCCTCCCCACAAAGAGAGTAGATCTTAAACGTTCTCATCACACGCACACAAACTATGTGTGGTGATGGGTGTTGACTAGACTTATTGTGGTGATCATTTCACAATATATACAAATACCAAATCACTATCTTATACACATGAAACTGATGGAAAGCTATATGTTAATTATAGCTCAATCTGAAAAAAAAAAAAGAGTGAAAAAAAGAGATGAACTCAGGAAAGAATCAGTTGGTTTGCAAGCCAGGGATAGAAACAAACCCAAAATTCCTGGTCTTACAGGATTGAAAGAAGCAATTGTTTCTTATCTCCAACTAGGAAGAGATAAAGTTGAGAAATGCTATAAATAACAATCCAACTGTATTAAATTAAAGTCTCCCTTGTTAAAACCTCTGAATACATTAGGTGGCTCTCCCAAGAAGCCGATCATTAAGTTGAGAGAATGTCTCAAAAATAACCGTGGACATGGCTGTTAGCAGAAACCAGCTGAAGTCAAATCGATTTTTAAAATGACTAAGTTTTTGAGATAGCTGTACTGGCCAAGAGCCAACAGCCTCAGACTAAAAGACTCTATGACTATTGGAAACTTGCCACGATCTTTGGG